CGACGATACAGGGAGAACATGCAAACTCCACACACATGGAACCAGAACAGAGACTGGCACCCTGGTCCCAGTGCTGTGAGGCCACAGTGCCAACCACAGCCCCCCCAATCACACATACTCTTTTTCCTCTGTCTGATTCTTCCTTCTCCCTTTGATCACATGCTCCATTAAAAACTCCTCAAGTTTCTCTCAAGTGCGGACTGGGTGAAAAATTCTGTTGGCACGCGCTTTACGACATCTGAAAGGAATTAAAGACTCCTGCAAGCGTGATTATAATTCTGTCACGATCCCACACACGATTTAGTCCGGCCGGCTGATTCTGGAGATGAACAACGCGAGAAGCCGTTCCCAGTTGGCGGGTTGGGGTCCTGCCTTTCCGGGTAAATGATGCGGTCACCCTGGTCAATAATGGCATTAATTATAAATGGAGAGACGTACGTAAAATAAACCAGTTTAATAAATGTGTCTCATATGTGTCAAGCATCTTTCCCATCCCCCTTCTTGCCTAATGGGCCATGCGTGCTGCTTGTCTGCATTGCCATGGCGACCACTCCGCCAGCCCATCAGAGCGCGGCATGATGAGGGCTGACTCTTGTTGCTCGACATTCGCCTGCACCGCTGGCTGATTCATTACCAAATAACATATGCCAGGGATACACATGTTCTCTGTATGTTTATGTGCTAATGTCACCCGCAAGATTATTCCTTCCTCAATTTGACTGTGTTCTGAAGGAAGTGCAATTACCATAATCCTGCTGGCAGGAGCATTGAGCTTGGGGGGCAGGGGGGGGGCTAGTTGTGTAACCGAATGCTGAGCCTGAAGGCATAAGCACCCAACCCCTCCCTCATGTATGTTTTCGATCACCATGCCCCCCCCCCCCACAGACAGGCCATACCACATATCTGCCGTTACTCTTATTAATGCTTAGAAGCATCCCCTGTTAATCTTCCCACTCCAGCAAGAACATCATGAACGTTCGCATGATCGCTGACTTAAGGAGGGACAGCCGGCGGCATGGAATGCACCTCTGCCTGCCAGCAGAGTGATATCATGAGAGGCTTGAAGAATCTGGTCCTTCAGACCACCTCCAATATATCTATGTCTTTCGCAGAGACACTAACGAACAAGGGGAAACAGTCAAAGAGTGCACGACTTTCTCACAAACTACACGGTGAGACTGAATGTTCACATCTTCGGGCGCATAAGTACGGTCATGTATTCATTCCTTTTCTTTTGCACCTTGTTTCCATGACTTAATTCCGGTCCCCGTTGCAATATGCCTCAGCGCAGATTCTACAGGTGGGCGGAGCCCTAATGGAAGAACATGACATCATTCTTCCACAAGAAATCCCATCAATTGGTGCTCCATTGACAGCAGTAAAAAGAAACAAAAAAAACCACAGGCGCTGCTCCGGAAACGCCCATAATTGGTCGACTCGGTTGAGAGATAGCGACTGGGATGGCACTGATGTGCGTGTTTATCATTCTGTGACTAGATGCATCCTCGGTCCTCAGGCATCCATCACTCCCGTCAGGATACATACACTCCTCTGTAGAATGAATAGGATCTCACTCAAAACAGCTTTGCATTCATTGCCATTTACTTTGCCCTCAGTGAGGTTCAATGGACAGAACCCATTATAATCATTATAAAAGAGCTGCCAAAACCCGTGATCCTGGGACAAACAGAGGTGGATAGTTTAGGCCCAGAAAGTAAAAATCCGGACCAAGATTTTGTTTCAACCAACCAACTGAGCATAACAAGTCACAGTCACAGAATACTCAACTGGGTGGTTGAAACAAAATCTTGGTCCGGATTTTTACTTTCTGGATCCGAACGATCCACAGATCCCCTCTGGCATAGATCTGGTATCCCCCCCTGTACCTGCCCAATGACCAACGATTCGAAAGAAATATAGCATGTCTGCACTTTTCTTCGCCTCTAGATTACATCCCGCCGTCTTTCTGGCCACTTTGCTCACAGAAGTGCATTTTACTCACGCATACACTTCAGCTCAAGCCCCTAAGCCCTTGGATCCTTCTCTGTGAATTTCTCGACAGGTAGTATTTGATGAAACCGCTCGACCGTGCCTTAAATTCGCATTTACAATCACGACTTGTCGTCTGTTTTGGACTTAGAGCTCAAACAATTTAGGCGGACGAACATTTATCAATATTTGCCCCTAGATTATAATAGGAGTCCCTCACACTTCAACTCCACTGTTAGTTGTGAAACACTCTCATGCTCACCCATCTTTATTACTGTTATCTTCTGCTCGCCATGGAATAGCTTTTCATACATGATAGTGGCGTTTCCAGTTTTCTTAATTACCTCAGTGACCACGGCTATATGGTAGCACATGCATTCAGTATATATTTTTTACGTGTCATTCACTCAGATGTTTCCGTTATCGCATTACCTGTGTTAAAACGGACATTTTTGCACATTCTTTAAAGTCCCACTGGCGCAAAATTTTTGCTCTTTTGGTACATCATCCAGTTCAATAGCAATGGAAGGCCAGCCACCCCCCCCTCAATCATTTTCTGACCTGGTAAAGGTGCGGCAACCTGTTTCCTTACCTGTTGGTCACGTTCCCTTATTCTGACCGTGTTCTTCCTGCCTCTGGCGTATAATTATTCTGATTTTGAAGCGAAACACAGATTCAAATAGCACGTTTCACTTTTCTTACACGTTTCGCACTGAAAAAGAGACAGGTGTGTTTAAATCTGCACTTATTCCAGTGAAAATCTAGGAGGTGCAGTGATCAGCCTTGTTTATTTCTGCTTGTTTATATCGCACCCGCACTAAAAGGCAGGGTAAATCACAACACCCCCCCCCCCCGCACCCCACTCACATCATCTACTCATGTCATTATAACTGTTATGAGGACATTGTCATCTGCAATTTTTCTTACGATGCCAGTTGGCCCCGGAGATAACCACCAGATGCTAGCTGGGTGACGACTCTCATGCACAAACGCAGCATCTTCCACAAAGCTGGTCCGTTGCCATGGTGATCAGCCAACTCAGCCAACCCAACGAAGACCTAGGGCCTAATTTTTCAGTGCGTGCAAACATTACGTCAGTCTTTTCTTCAAGAATTAGAAAAACCTACCCGTCCGTCTCCCAAAGGCAGAGCCTGATCAGGTCACGGGTCCCTCTTCCATGTGTTATATTAAATATTAATCTCCGTCTGAATCTAAATGCACGCTGGAAGTTGTATCATTCCAAGAAAAATCCGGCTCCGATATCAGCTTAACAGGTGTGTCATTGATCTCGAGCGTTTGGCAAGCTGACAGGAGTCACCCAAAAATAGGTTTGATTCCAGTGAGACGACCCTGCTTTGGCTGCCGGCCTTGTTTGCCCTTGTTCCTTGAGGACAGTCTGCATCAATCCTGCTGCCCCCGCCATCCGCCCCTCCTGTGCCCCATGCTAGCCCACCACACTACCCGCTGCTGCTCCCATGCCCACGAGTGCCACCTCCTCTGCCCCCTACATTTTTTGTTTTCTATATTTTTTCTCCTAACCGATCTGGGTTGAGTTTCCCGAAGCCTTCTTAACACTACGTCGTTCGTTAGTTCTATCTTTTAACACAGAACTTAAGAACGACGTAGCGTTAAGAACGCCGTAGCGCTAAGAACGACGTAGCGTTAAGAACGCTTCGGGAAACTCACCCCTGTTTGTTTTTCAATTGAATTGTACCGCTTACAATTCACATTAGCGGTGAGAAAATGTTTTAAATGATTTATCGTCGTCTCATTTTTTATATCTGAAAAACCTGCCATTTTAACAGGGGCGTGTATATTTGTTATATCCACTGTATATTATAACAGACAATAACAGCCAGTAAATAGAGGTAGAGATGCATATATATCGGTTAACATATCGGTATCAGCTGATGGTCATTAAAAATCCAGACGTGGACTTTGGTCTGATGTGTCAGTCTTGGTCAATATTGTCAGCCAGTATTTAGACTTCAGTCAATAATCAAAGTTGGCGAAACAGTTGTTTTTCGAAATCGCTGTTACACTGATATTTTTAAAAGCGCTAATTTAGATTTAAATGACCAGTGTAAGTGTCACAGTTCACCAGCAGGTGTGAAGCTGCTTTTTGTTTATGATTGGTGCAGTTTTCCTTATAGCTAAGGGGAAATACTTCGCTGTTTTCAGACTTACATAGCAGCCTTTTTAGACATTTCAGATGACACTGCAAAGGAGTTTATAATAAATGCATTGTTCAACTCTGTTGCATGTGCTGTTGTTTTGTACGTTTCTTTGATTAACACAAAAAGATATGTATACATGCAACTGAATATTGGTTATTAGTGTCGGTCAAATTCGTGCATTGGTGCACCACTAACGCTTAGCTAATGCCATAACGAGTAACCTATGTCACCCTGTCCACTTTATGCCCCTGCCAGGACCTCAAACACCGGAGAGCAAGACATGCTGCGATAATCACATACATTACCACACTAACGCACATAACGTGTCATGGGGAGGTCTTGGCAGAGCCAACAGCTCCGCGAAAGGGCTAATGACGAAACAGGGATGTAGAGAAGTCACAACTGCCCTCTTAGTACGTTGCCTCTGACAAACCGAGAATCAAGCAGCACACAAAGAAATCTAGCATATCTACTTACCGTCAGTGGCCAGCACTGGGAGGGCCAATTGCAAGACATTTTGAGACCTCCGACTGGCAAAGACACACACTAGCCACACATGCACGCCTACAGCAACACCCACACGCACACAGACATGTAGTTGCCCCATTTTCTATGCACGCAACAAACACAGACTGTTAACATTAAACACACACGCTGCAACTTATATCTAACACTGGACGTTAAGACTCTGCATAAAGATATTGCAATAATATTCTTGGTGAAGCCCCTGGTTACTGCCTGCAACTCCACCCATGGTCTACAGGAAGCATAAACAGCCATTGCTGTAGTGGTTGCCCATGTTGGTTGCCCCTGTCCCGATCTTGTCACACTCACCCCTGGCAGTGTCTTCTGTTCGTGAAGGGCATTCTGGGCCTTGATGGCAGACTCACGTGCGCAGTAGGTGAGAAACGCACAGCCTGCATGCAGAAAAAAAGACGGGAATGTAAATTCCGGGCCTGTCGTTCCTTTATTTACACTGTAAATTGAGGTGTTTCAGATATATGCGAAAGCTTCCCATCGTACACATCAATACAGCAGGATATTTCATCGAAGCCATTAGTTCATTTTAGGCAGTGACACTCGGAATTGCCGTTCTTGAAGCGCTATTCCTGTTAGTGCACCAATGAAGATGACCCTTCTCCACTTCCGCCATTCATCCTGACAGAATCACCCAGACAGATTCATTCAGACAGATTCATCCAGTCCGGCAGGGTGTGGAGGCATTGCAAGCTGCACTCTATAAGATTCTGACAAAAAAACGAAAATGGATTAAACACCCTCCCGCGCTCGGTGTTGACATGCAGCTTCCTCAAACACGAAACCAAACGCAGACACACAAAGAGCAGATGGCCGGGCGAAGGGAGGAATCCTTCGGTAAGTGCAACCTGAGCAATATGCTGCGGGTAAGTGAATAAACAACCAAAAAACAATTCGAAAGTATGAAGTTGAGTCCTATTTTTTGCCTAGGGGTCCCTGGAGGAATTGAAAAAAAAAATCATAAATGAGCTACTGGTGACCCCCCCCCCCCACAAAGGACACCAAAGCAATGAAAAGTGATGCTGTGGAGGCAGGTAATAAGTTAATGGGATCTGAAACTAGTTAAATATTACTAAAAATAAACATACAACTAAATATAAACACAAGTAAATGCTTACAGCAGCATTATGTCATACCAAATTGCATTAATAGGCCTAATCCAAAATGCTAGAAAAGACACCAGTCATTTGACAAAAAGACATTATTAGTATAGTGAGATGGTACTTACTTCACAGTGTTTCAGATTAATAGTAATTTCAAATTAATGTTAATTTCACTGTCGCTGTCTGTGTGTAGGAACGTTTTGTTATTCCCGAATACTGCACCGTAATGTAAGATTCATGGCAAAAATGAGAAGCTTTGTGCCTTACAAGCGAAACTAGGAGATAAAAATGCGTTTGCTTGTCTCTGTGCCCAGCATCTCGTACAGCGGAACAAAAACACTCGACTTCTCCCGTTTGGACTGGCGAGGTCCTGATGAGGCCTGGCTCCTTGCCCTTGGGGTGTGAGACACATTGATGGAGACAGGGGGAGAAATTGTTCCAATCTATTAGCCAGGCCTTCCTGCCGCCAAAACAGAGCCCCTCAATGGCTCAATAATCTCCCCTCCCACCCACATCGCAGTTTTTTTGTGAGGTGGAGTCACGCCATGCTAAACTGGACCAGAACCAAGGTAAACTAATTGACCCAATTAATTTCTCTGTATGTGCCACCCTTTGCAGAAACTTCCTTCATGGGTTTTCTTTTTTTATTCCCATCCGATCAATTGCTTGCGAGCAGAGAAAGTTGAAAATTCATTAAGGTGTGACCACTTGGGGGCGCTGTAGCATCATTACATGCACCTGTGGTATTTCAGCCGGGACTACAATCTAGATTTCCATTGGTTACCACTGTCAAAGTCTATTGTCGCTGAGCTGTATCCCGCTGTGGACAGAGCGGTGTTCTGCCCAACCCTTTGTGAAACCACCATTACAGTCTTGCATCAGCACAAATGCAACATCACAGGTATTTGTTTGTACACTGATTCCAGCATCCAGCCCGCTCTGTACTGGTGGAGGCTTTTGCAACAGAGTGCAAAGAACGTCCATCCTTTTATAACCACAAAAAAAAGACATAACACATTGCAGGTTGTGAGATAGCGCATGATGAAAGCTTAGGAAACGTGAACGCAGAAGACTTCTAACACAAAAGGTTCTTCACACGCTGTCTACTGACCTCCACAAAACATTCAAACGAAATTACGAAATGCTCCAAGGACGTTTTTTGAGTGACAAATCAGAGTTTGTTTCCAATTAACGTTTGCAAAATACTCCGCCTCTTTCCTTCAAAATAGCGAGGAGTCAAGGAGGCCGCCGGCAACGATCCCCAGCGGCTCCTATCAAGTCCCAACACGAGAGGTTACTCCTACAAACACGCTGAGCCTAAAACGCTTAGAAAATGCTCAGTGACCTGCAGAAAGAATGCCTGAAACACAGAAAACTGGATACATTGTGTCTCTAGCAACACACGTGTCATCAATGAAAAGCGGCAATGTAATCAGTGTTATGAGTTTGTAGAAGGACCTATTATTTCCAGGCCGTTGTCGAAGGATACGCCTAATAGCAGAAACATTACATATATAATATACTGTTCACTATATATCACACTGTCATTTATGCACCTTACCCTAAACCTTAAAGCCATTATAAACTGTCTTTTCAAACTGCTCTTGTCCATTGTTCTAACAATATTTTCCTTGTTTCTGCATAACTATCCTATAATGAGTATCCTAATATTGTCGATACTCAGGCAAGGCCCGTAAACCGGCAGTCAGTTGAGCCTCACGCATCCCAACCAAGCTCAACCCCCATGCAGAAATGCCCCCAAATCACCCATCTGTGGTTCCTCTAGAACAGATTGGCTACATAGATATTTCCTACTAGAACTAGTCCAAATAGGCAATCCCTCTAAAAGTAATCACCCAAAGAGAACCACCACTAGATTCAATAACCCAAACTAATGAACCAACTAGAACAGAGAGATGATTCCCAATACAAACAGTTACACACATACAGAAACCCAATCAAAACCAGTGTCCTCTAGAATTAACCATTCCCTCACAGAGAAAACCTGTTTTTGATAAAGGTCATTAGGATTTTTTTGAAGGACAAGCCAGACCAATTGCAATGTTTTTAAAGGTTTACTTTTAAACTAGCAAAGTGCTTTAAAAACATATTGGGACAGTAAGGGATTTAGTTTGGAAGTCACATTAGCTCAAGAAGATACATTAAGTGTGTCATATGCACTAATGTTACAATTCTCTGTTCAAATAACTGCTGTTGATTAAAATCATCATTATATCGCCGAGATCCCAGCTAACAGCGAAGGTTCCCAGAACTTTAGCCACCATTTTGCAAAGGTCTTCTCAAAGTTGCTGGAGAACATTCTTACTGTAACGTTAATGGAACATTATTTACACATTTTACATTTTAACAACGGTTCTGTCAATGTCAGCATGGTAATATTATTACCTGAACCTCCTTAAAATCTATTTAATGTTGAAAAATGTTGTTTCAAAATAAAATCTTATTTTATAAAAGTGATATACGTGTATCACGCACAGGTATCACGCACACATACCAGTCAGCCTTGAACCCATGAGATCTTTGAGGTACAAAGCAACAGTGTTTATTAGCTGCTATATTATTATTCTTAGTTGCTGTCGTGGGATAACGTTATGGGAAAACTGGGCACTTCGAATGTTTCCATACCTTAATCATAACGTTCAGTAAATGTTCCAAGAATGGAAGATTGTTAGCAGGGATAGCTGAGATCTCAGGGCTCTGATCTCATAGGGTTCTCTTCATTATATTATGCTTCCTTGAAAGAGTTTTTACTAAATTAGCTGTCAAACCATCTTCAGAGCAGCATCAATTATCAGCTGTGCCCTTGGTACTGAGCTCTGCCCCTACGAGATATTTTGGGTGATCAGGAAGGCACAGACAGGACATTCTAGAGTAGTTTTTCCCAATCTGTTCCTCGGAGACCCACAGGCGGTCTACATTTTTGTTACCTCCCAGCACCCAGAGTAAAAACACAGACTGTCTGGGAGTCCCTGGGGACCGGATTGGGAAACACAGCTCCAGAGGAAAGCTGTCTATTTGACTGCTGGGGGATGGAATTGATCTGATGACACCTAATAATAATCTTTTCTTACTTTTGCTCCCACAGACAGACTCTGGTGGAATTACTGGCATTGCTAACTAAGCTCTGTGCAGTGCATTATGGGAAACCCCCCCACTGGTCCCAGACACCAGCCTTTTCTCCAGGCACACCTGCTAATCACGTTTCACAGGGTTTATCCATCTTACTGTGGTGGGTAATGCATGCCAGCCCATCTCTCTGGTGGTGAACATTATGCTGTTAGAAGCAGAGGTATGCCAGCCTTCTCTTTTGTGAATAAACTTCAAAGTTCCGCATCTAAAATAGGCTCCAAAAGCAGCATTTGTTGAATTACTTAAAGAAATCGACTTCCAGGATTGCAATGTCAAAGGGAGAAAACTATTATTTTTTTTTTACACTGTTCCAAGGCAAGTTCAGAAAACATAAACCAACCATACAAATTAAAGCGTGTTAAAGATTGCTATGAAATGCCAACCAGTTAGCTGACAATCAACGCTTCACATGCACACAAAGACTGATTCAGAGAAAAGCACGCAGGAAAAACACCCCCAAATCTTCCCGTTCCATGGTACCGGCAATCCTGTTAAGAAGTGAGTTACGGAGGGATTATCGAGACTCTTGTTGATGTGCACCATCAAAGGTCAATTAGCTAAATGAGCTATCAGCTAGAGTAGTGTTTGCCAATCCGGCCCTTGGGGACCCTCAGACAGTTCACCTTTTTACCTGAAGTTGGGAGGGAGCAAAAACGTGCTTTTGTGAGTCTGTGGGTCTGTGAGTCCCCGAGGACCGGATTGGCAAACAATGAACTAGGAATATAGAAGATAAAAGGTGCACACAGCATGGAAGGCTAGCAGCCCTTTTGTAAAACACCCCCATCCACACCTTGGTGCTACAGTATGCTAAGCTAGCACTGTAAGCAGTGGCTCCGCCCCTAGGCATGAGTATGGGGAGGGGTCAGCAGCAGGCAGTCAGTGATGTCACGGCAGCGGCACGACCGTGCAGGCTTAACCTATTTTCAGAAATGCCGCCTATTCTATTTATAGCTGAGCTGTCCCGTGGCCCTTGCAAATCGGTGCCCCCCCCCACCCCCCCACGCCTGATGGATCCACACGCTTTGGACAGTTTGCACGTCACATCTCATTTGATGCTCATTCCAGTCTGAGACGGGCAATAAAGATGCTAATTACAGACATGCTCTGATTAATTAAAAGTTTTAAGT